TTGAAGGCCCCCACCTTCTGCACTCGAACTGCCAGAGCGGGGAATTAGCCTTGACAAGTATGGATGAGAAAATAAAACTGATAAACAGTAGTGACGCCCTCTGCTTAATGGGTGATGCAATCAAAGGTTCTAAGCTGCGGATTATATCAGTAACCCATTTTTAAAAGAAAGTACGGTTGGCCCCGGCACTGTCTGTATCAGGTGGACAACACAACCAACTGGGTGAACATTGGCTCACCTTGTACCTGGAGAATTACCACAGAGAGTTATTTGTCTCATACGGACAAAGCCTGAACAGCATGTTCTTTCCTAGAAGCAGCATGACATTTTTAAATAAAAATGCTGCTGACGTTATGTTCCACCCTTGACAATTACAAAAGCCCCATACTCCGACCTGTAGCTATCACTGTGTGTTTTCCTTCCATCACCGTAACAATGGTTTACCTTTTGACCAGTTTTTAAAACTGTATTCTAATGACTTAGTGCAGTGTTTCCCAAACTTGGGATGGTGCTTGTTTAGGGAAAGCCCCAGGTGGGCCGGTCCGGTTTGTTTACCTGCCGCATCCACAGGTTCAGCTAATCACAGCTCCCACTGGCTGCGGTTCGCTGCTCCAGGCCAATGGGAGCTGCTGGAAGCGGTGCTGGCTGAGGGAGGTATTCCTATAGGAATTTCCAAGATATTATCATGGTGCTTGTCTCTGATATACAGAGGGCTCCCCAGAACAAGTTTGCCTTGCTGTTCCTTGAAAGGACATGGATACAGCCCTCTGATCAATAATTGGCCCACAAGCAGTAATGCTTCAAAAACAGAAATAATATTTCTTTAGAAATGAGTGGGAGGAGCTTTTAGAGAGGGTCACATGCCACCTCTTCCTCCAGGTTACATGTCAATCTCTGTCCCAGGACTTGCCCTAATTGGTCAAACTCCTCTTGGGGCAGGCCTATGGGTCACCCAACAGGCTAGAGATAGGCACAGAATCCAGGTTTCCTATGTCCTAGTCCTCTGCTCTTCCCTGGTCATACATAAACCCCTTTTCTCACACAATGATCTTTCCCAGTAAAGACAAGTCCCTCTAGGTCTGGTCCCTGAAACATTCACCATAAGGGCTGTGAGGAAGACGTGGGCTCAGGGCAGGAGGAAAGGGAACTGAGAGAAGGAGCTGGTTTGTGGAGAAAAGATTGAAGTAACTTCAGGGGCACCACTTCAGACTGTGGTGTGCGGAACATTAATCATGATTCCTGGGGCTACTTAGGCACCTGAAAACTCTAGATTTTGTATATAAGGTGGTGGGCCCACAACCAAAAAATATAGCCGGGGGGAGGTCAGCTCTAAAAGTTTGAAAACTGCTGAGGATGCAAGAAGGGGGTAACTAGCGGCTGTGTGCAGGCATGGAGGTAGCTCGGGTTCCAGGTGGGGGTGTACTTCAGGGGCCAGGTAGGAGGTTGCTAGGGGCTGTGTTCCTGGAGGGGTGTCGCTCAAGGAGCAGGCAGGAGGTATATAGGGGTCGACAGGGGTGTAACTCAGGATGCAGGGAGGGGCTGTGTCCAAGGAGGTGCTGCTACTGAGGGCCCAGGCATACCCTCACTCCCTAGTTGGCACAGTGGGTGCAGCTCTGCGGATCAGTGGCCGGGGTGAGGTGCATGCGCTGCCCACCCACTTACGCAATGGGCAGGCGGAAGGGAACACCCAGATACCAGCACACATCCCTTTCTATGCAGCATTTCAGCAGGTGAGGAGCGATGCCAGTGGTGGCCCCATAGTTGAGGGGCGGGGCTGTATGGCTGTAAACAACAGCAGAGAAGGGCATAGAGGGTGGGGAGAGGAAGGGCAGCATTTTCCCTTGTGCTGCACACTTCACACAAATCTGGTACAAAACTAGCCGGGGTTGGGGGAAGGCCTTTCCTAAATGGTGTCCCCGGGGTAACAATCTTTTGTGCTGCAAAGATATGCAAAGCAGCTGTGAGCTCGATTGTTTCTCCCTCTCCATAGCAGGACCCCAGGTGGTTGCCTCAGTTACACCCTCACTTGCAAATTTGCTCAGGTTTCTATAAGCCTGGGTCTTTGGGATTTCCAATGCCCTTCGGGCTCTTGCATGGGAGCCTGCTGCACAGGGCAAGGTCTGGACACTCAGGCACAAGAGAAGGGACCTCATGATGGGGAGGTTTGGGAGACGAGGGGAGCAGAGAGAGGGTCGACATGCCGTGGAGCATTGATGTGGGCGTTACACACTATGCAGCCAAACTGGGACTGAACCCCACTCCTCTGACAACAACACAAACCAAACGGCTTTGTCAAAGGACCAAGGAAAAGGTCACGATTTATCCATGCGAGCTCACTGAAATGTATAAATATGTATGTCCGCTGGTCTAGGAACACCCCTGAGTGGATTTTACATATGGCAGTGACAGTTTATTTTATTTATATGTAGTTAAAATAACAGAAGGAAGGGATTTGTATGGAAAAGAAATAGCAAAACAGCCCCTGTGTGGAATCAAAATACTCACAGGCTTGTTTGCAATACACCACAACCAGCAGCTACTTTTATTAAAAGGAGAAGAACAAGCTATTGTGCGGGGGGGGACACAAGGGCTCCCTTGTGGATTTTTTCCAGCTTGCGAGATTCTTTGCAGCCCAGATGAAAAGCATCCAAGAATTTTAGAAGCAAGACGTCATCTGCCAGATTCCGAGAGATCCTGCATTGTCAATCTCTGCTGCCATCACTCACTCTCTCTATTGCAAAAAGGGAAGAACGTCTCACATTCTATGTTTATAGCCATTAAAACAAGGACAATATAACTTTACATTTCAAATTCAAGGTAGAGCAGGAACTTCCCCATCATTTAATAGTGTGAGCAGCTGTAACTCCAACAGACCTTGCTTGACATCGGTCAGGATTGAACCTGGAGCCTCGGGAGTTTAATGCATGAGCTTCTACAGTATGAGCTAAAAACCAACTTCCTCTTATTTCAGGTTGTAGAACAGATTCAGACTATCTATTATATTTAAACATGTGTACTGGCTGGCTTCTGAGTAAATATGCTGGAGTTCTGAACATGGCTCTCCCCTCCCTCTGCCCCTAACTCTCCAGTAAAGGAGTCACATTCTCATTTCCTTACAAAACTCCTTCCTATTAACATTCTAAACAGTTTAAGTGACAAATAAAAAAAATAAAAATAAAGTCGCTTGGTGATTAAAAAAAGAACCCCGGCAAATTACCGGTAAGTATAAAAAACAGCTAGAAATATGATGTACAATATCATGGAAATGTCCATCAAACTTTTTAAAAAAGTTGAAATTTGAAATTCCATTGAGGGAATTAATCAAAATTAAGAATTTTAAAAATATTGACTATCTCTATGATATATAGAAAAATAAAACCAAAAATATGTAAGATGTAGAACAATGTGACTCACGTCCGTCTTTAGTTTTCCTTTCAAACACACTTTTGTTCATAGCTAAAACTAAAACAATAAATATTTAATTAGAGGATAAATAAGTTATTCTTAAAGAATGCCTGGACTATTCTGCCTTCCAGCTCACGTAAGCCTAATAGCTTGACCCTATTCAGATGGTACTTCCCTATCTGCTGATAATCTCTGTACATATTCAGGTTTCAGAGTAGCAGCCGTGTTAGTCTGTATCCGCAAAAAGAACAGGAGTACTTGTGGCACCTTAGAGACTAACACATTCATTTCAGCATAAGCTTTCGTGGGCTACAGCCCACTTCTTCGGATGCATAGAGTGGAACACACAGACAGAAGATATTTATACACACAGAGAACATGAAAAGGTGCATTAAATTATCACCTCAAAGGGTTTTTTTCTCACTACTGCTGATAGCTCATCTTAACTGATTGGCCTCTTACGGTTGGTATGGGTACTTCCACCTTTTCATGTTCTCTGTATGTAT